ACCTGGAGGTGAGCTGTCTGGGGGTGCGGGGAATTTTATTATGCTGGGGTTTGGCTCAGGGTACAATAAGTCTCTATTCATTCTGGTGATTATTAGGAGCTATAACTGCTCTTTCCTTACAGGAACACCTAGGCCTTAACAAGTTTATATACAACTTTCTTTGGAGAGGTTTTTGCTATAGGGCGTGTGCACTCGTCAGAGAGACAAAAAGTGAGAAATCACCCCCCCGGGGGGGAAGGCCATGCTGCAATCCCTCCATTCTCCTCTCTGGATATTGGGCATGCACACACGCCCGGCATGAGTTTAAGCCACCGGGTCTGGGACTTGAACTGTGGTCAACTACATGGGAGTCCAGTGACATAACCACTACACCATGTGTTGATCCCAGTATTTATCTATTAATAGATACGCAAGTTTTTTTCTTGCAGACTATGCTCAACGCCATGTAGAACCACTGTAAAATGTTTTATTGCTACCAGAATTGTGTTTATCTTCTGGACTTTTAAACTGTATCGTGCCTAAGAAACACCCTGAAGAGTTACTGCAGGATCCCAGCTATCTCCTCTTCAATTGTAAGGGGGTCGTGAATGGCACAGAGGTAAGAGTTTGAGTATGTATGTACAATGTGTCAGAGGCCTGTGTGTTCACCAGGGACAGAGGAGAAAGACCCCTTATGAGGCATGGCAACACTGCAATCCCTTCTCCCCTATTTCTTCATCCTGTTGGGATTTGGGGTGTGTGTGCACACACAGACACACTCACACACATTCATGTGCCCCGTGTTTTTCAAGGTACTGGGGCTAGGACTCGAACCACAATTGCCCATGTGATTCAGCTTCCCTAAACCACAAGGCATAACAAGACAGCCTAGAATCTGAGTGTTTTTTAAAAAATTACTTATTGATTTAATTTTACTTATTATTATTATTTGAAAATTTGCTATAGGGCATGTGTGCTCACCTGAATGACATAAGAGAGAAAGAGAATGAGAAAGCAAGCTGCCAGGTCTGGGACTTGAACTGTGGTCAGCCATGTGGGAGTCCAGCGCTTAACTACTATGTCACCTGCTGCCCCTTCAATCTGAGTTTTAAATGAGCATGCGATGTGACCCTGATGCAGACTGTTTAGTTACACAGTACCATTACTAAGTTCTAATGAGTAGACTTTTAAATACAATTTACACTCCTCCAGGCAAACATGCTATGCTCTGCATCTTACGGTTCTTTCCTGTTTTATTACATTAGCCACGATTCCCAGAACAGTATGATTGGTATTGTATTCTCGGGTTTAACCCTGCTGGGTTGTGAAGGACTCTTTAGGTAAAGAGATAGATTTAATTTTTTAATATTAAGAACTTCATATATATACTGCTGAATAAAGAGAATGTTTAATTCTAAGAGGAACAGGGATCACAGGTAACTGTCTGAATAAAGAGAGTATGTTAAATTCTATGAGGAACAGGGATCACAGGTTAACTGAATGAATGAAGGGGCTGGCTCCCCATTTTTCCTTCCATTTCTGAAACGTCTGGGTGTTATCTCTTCTTTGAAGGTTTAGAAAAGTTGAGTAAATTATAATAATTCTGGATCTTTTGATGGGATCCCTTACGTGACAACAACTCTTCCCTAATTACTGGTTTGCTAAGATTTTCTTTCTTGGGGCTGGCAGGTGGCATGCTGGTTAAGGTGCTGGACTCCCACAAAGCTGATGGCGGTTCGAGTCCCAGATCTGGTGGTTTGCTTTCTCACGTTCCCTCTCTTTGGTCAAGTTAAAAATAATAATAAGTAAAATTTCTATTTCTCAAGTTAGATTTTCTTGTATTTCTTTTTTTTTAAGAATTATTTATTTTAACTTTGCCTATTATTATTATTTTAATATTTCCAGAGAGACACAAGAGACAGAGAGAGAATGAGAAAGCAAGCCTCCAGGTCTGGGACTTGAACCACGGTCAGTCATGTGGGAGTCCAGCATCCCTAACCACCACACTATGTACTGGCCCCAGATTTTCTTAGATTTCTAGTTACTGTCCTATTTCACTGTGACTTTCAAATTTAGAGAACTGTATATCTTTCAAAATAAAAAATTTAGCCTTCTACATGGTTGCTAATTTCATGACTCTTTAATGTTGTATTTATGGTTTATCTTATTTTAGTTTTTCATCTCTTAAAAAGAGTCAACATTTAAAAATCAAATTCAATAGTTTCATAAGAATTTTTCCCCTTTTTTTCTGCTAGCGCCATAAAAATCTTAGGTTGAACATTACAGTAAAAAGCAGAAATCAGAAAGAAGATGTAGGATAACTAGGATGATTTATAGATACTTTAACAAACCACCACTGGTCCTATCGAGAAAGTCATACACAAAGTCAAACGGATGCACAAAACTCTCTATCAATGTTGCTTTAAGAATGTGACAGCAGGGACCAGCAGTTGGCATAATGGCTATATCACTGGACTCCCATGTAGTCGACTGCGGTTCGAGACTCAGAGCCGGTGGCTTAAACTCATGCAGGGCACGTGTGTGTGTATGCCCAAGATCCCGGAAGGAGAAGAGACTGCCGCGTGGCCATCCCCCCTGAGGGGTGAGTTCTCGCTTTCTGTTTCTCTCTGTCTCTCTCTGTCTTTCTGGCAAGCACATGCGTCCTATAGCAAAAACCTCTCAAAAAAAGAAAACAGAATGTGACATGATATACTTTAATTCCTGGGAAAACGGTCACAGTGGGTTGCAGATCCTCAAAATGAAACATAATGATCTTACACAAAATTAAGTATGTTGATGGAAAATGCAGATTTTCTCAATCATCTGTGACTACAGAAGTCTTGAAGGACTGTTGGCAAGTTCTCACTGTTATGTAAATTTCTAGAATTTTCTCTAAAGCATCTATCTGCGTAAGGGTTAGGAACATCCTTGGCTCCATCACAAATTAAGGAATACACCTGCTACTTGGGACTTCCCTGTGAAGACTGAAGTGTCTGGAAATACTTTTTTTGATTTCATTAGCAGGTGAACAAATATTCCTGATCTTCCACAAACATAAATTAATAGCCAGAAAGAGTAACATTACTAAAATAAAACATGCAAACATAGAAAAGGAATTCTGTCAGGAGCTGTGGGGTTCAAGAGATGAGTAAGATGTGCTCCCGGATCTGGAGAATCTTAGAGCCACGATAAAGTGAATTAAGGCATAAGGAAACACACTCGGGAAGAAAATCCTCATGCTTGGAGAGCTGGGACGACTCACATGGAGGGCTTTATAGACAGCAGCAACCGAACCACGGTAAGGAAACGGGGGCAACGGGTATGTGAAAATGTCATGAATTAAGGTACAGGAGGGGACGCTAACAAGCTCTTAGAAAAAATAAAGTACCAAAAAGTGCTGAAACCAAAGCACAGTTTTTTGGTAATATGTATTTCCTGTAAACTGTTGGAAGAGCCCATACACGTATGAAAATGCAGGGCACAGGGTGTGTAAGCTCTGGCCTGCCCGAGGTCAGTGGGGACGGCACGACAGCTGTGGCCAGCAGAGCTAGTCCAGGAGTCACACAAACGCTCTCCCAGGTCTGTGGCCGAGAACATGCCGTCTCTGAGGAGAGCACACAACACGCAGAGTGCACATGACACACAGAGTACAGACGAACAGAGTGCACACGACATGCAGAGCGCAGACGACACACAGAGTGCACACGACATGCAGAGTGCACACAACGCACAGAGTACAGACGACACGCAGAGTACACACGACGCGCAGAGTGCAGATGACACACAGAGTGCACACGACGTGCAGAGTACAGACGACACGCAGAGTGCACACGACATGCAGAGCGCAGGCGACACACAGAGTGCACACGACACGCAGAGTGCAAATGACGCGCAGAGTACAGACGACACACAGAGTGCACACGACATGCAGCGTGCAGACGACACACAGAGTGCTCTTAGAAAAAATAAAGTACCAAAAAGTGCTGAAACCAAAGCACAGTTTTTTGGTAATATGTATTTCCTGTAAACTGTTGGAAGAGCCCATACACGTATGAAAATGCAGGGCACAGGGTGTGTAAGCTCTGGCCTGCCCGAGGTCAGTGGGGACGGCACGACAGCTGTGGCCAGCAGAGCTAGTCCAGGAGGCACACAAACGCTCTCCCAGGTCTGTGGCCGAGAACATGCCGTCTCTGAGGAGAGCACACAACACGCAGAGTGCACATGACACACAGAGTACAGACGAACAGAGTGCACACGACATGCAGAGCGCAGACGACACACAGAGTGCACACGACATGCAGAGTGCACACAACGCACAGAGTACAGACGACACGCAGAGTACACACGACGCGCAGAGTGCAGATGACACACAGAGTGCACACGACGTGCAGAGTACAGACGACACGCAGAGTGCACACGACATGCAGAGCGCAGGCGACACACAGAGTGCACACGACACGCAGAGTGCAAATGACGCGCAGAGTACAGACGACACACAGAGTGCACACGACATGCAGCGTGCAGACGACACACAGAGTGCACATGACATGCAGAGTGCACACGACGCGCAGAGTACAGACGACACGGAGTGCACACGACGTGCAGAGTGCAGATGATACGTAGAGTGCACATGACACAGAGTGTACACGACATGCAGACGACACGGAGTGCACACGATGCACAGAGTACAGACGACACGCAGAGTGCACATGATGCGCGGAGTATAGACGACACGCAGAGTGCACACGACACACGCAGTACAAACGACGCGCAGAGTACAGATGACACAGGGTGCAGACGATGCGCAGAGTGCACACAACACGCAGAATGCACACGGCACACGGAGAAGTCCCCAGAGTCTGGACGCACCCAGCTGCTTGGGGGAGGCTTCCTGAGGGGTGTTATGGGAGAAGGAAAGCTGGTCCAGACCCTGAGAGCCACTGAAGGCCTCGGCGGGTGAGGCAGACACGGCAGGACACGGAGGGGCGGGCCCTCAGGCTCAGGGCTCAGCTGCGTCCTACCTTCTGGGCGATCATGTTGCAGATCTCGGGCAGGAAGTCCTCGCTGAGCAGCTTGTACAGCTGCCGCTCCCGAAGGGAGGTCCTCTCTCGGAAGCTCTCGGTGACCTGTCTCCACTCCTCTTCCGTCTGGCACAGGAGCCACCAAGTGCCTTGGCCCGGGCCCTGGGAACCTGCAGAACGAGCACTCGCTGTGAGGGACCCACAGGCTGTCTCTGCCCTGGCTCCCGACGAAAGCAAGGAACCAGGGACAAGGGGCTGCGTGTGTCTAATAAACGGCGGCTGTGTGAGCACGTGTCTGTTTTTGGTTTTGCCGCAGGCCACGTGTGTTTTGGGGGAAAGAGGGGAAGTGTTAAGAAATCACCCCAAGAGGACGGCCATGCATGCACAGGCCAGCGGCTGGCCGTGGGGGGTCCAGCTGC